ATGAATCTTCCAGTTGTTGCATATTCGATGCGAAATATAGACACCTTCTGATAGAATGAAATCGTTCTAATCATGCCCTCTATTAACGGATAGTTTGTCGTTTGCTTTTTCCAACGTTGGGTTTTCAGAACATCAGCTCCAGCGCCCGCTTCCCTAACATCGAACTCACTTCCAACTGCACCTTTAATCATGCGTCGCGTTTTCGTCGTGGGTGTCGGTATGACACCATTTGTGAAACCCGGTGACAAAAAGCGCGACTATCCGGTCATGGCTAAGGAAGCCGTTGAAGCAGCGTTGAAGGATGCCCGACTCGAATACAAAGAAATTCAACAGGCCGTATGTGGCTACGTGTATGGTGATTCGACTTGCGGTCAAAGAGCTCTATATGAGGTCGGTCTCACTGGTATTCCTATCTATAACGTGAATAATAACTGCTCTACGGGTTCAACTGCACTTATCTTGGCGAAACAGCTCATTGAAGGCGGTCTGGCAGACTGTGTCCTAGCATGCGGATTCGAGAAAATGGATAGGGGCTCGCTTACCAGCAAGTTCAGGGACCGTGCAAATCCAATTGAAACACACGCCAAAGTTCTTGCTTCGACATATGGTATCTCACCTGCACCCATGGCTGCACAGATGTTCGGTGCCGCTGGCATAGAGCATATGGAGAAATACGGCACGACAAAAGAACAGCTAGCGATGATCGCTGTCAAGAACCACAAGCATTCGGTAAACAACCCCAACTCACAATTTCAAGTGGAGCATACTCTTCAAGAGGTGCTTGAGGCGCCTCAAGTGTTTGGCCCACTAACGAAGCTGCAATGCTGTCCCACTTCTGATGGAGCGGCTGCCGCCATTCTTATGAGCGAAGACATGGTGAAGAGGCTGGATCTTCAGGATCAAGCTGTAGAAATTCTCGCCATCGAGATGGCCACCGACTTTTCGTCAACCTTTGACGAGAAGTCCTGTATCAAAATGGTCGGCTTCGATATGACTAAGGCAGCCGCCGAGCGTGCATTCAAGAAAGCTGGACTAACGCCAAATGATGTTCAAGTTATAGAGTTGCACGATTGCTTCAGCGCAAACGAGCTCATCACGTACGAGGCTCTCGGTTTGTGCCCGGTAGGTAAGGCTGGCGAGTTCATCGACCGGGGGGATAACACCTACGGAGGCAAGTACGTCATTAACCCGAGCGGGGGACTCATTTCAAAAGGACATCCCCTGGGAGCGACCGGCTTGGCTCAGTGCTCCGAGCTTTGTTGGCAGTTACGTGGCACTGCCGGCAAGAGGCAAGTTCCCGGTGCAAAAGTGGCTCTTCAACAAAACGTCGGTCTGGGAGGTGCCAGCATAGTAGCACTTTACCGACTTGGCTTTCCTAAGTCCAAATTGTAAACCAATCAATATTTAGGCTGGCGAATAGAAATTGTGATTCATCTAGAACGTAATGAGCACATTATAAGCAAACAGTTACTCACCAGAATATATTTTCTATCGAACTATGTGATCAAATACATCTATAGATTCAGCTAAAAATACAAATATAGTACCGATGCAGCTGCGAGAAAACAGGACTATTTACGGAGTCGAGTATTGTTAACGAACAAAGCTGCCTCTAATCACTCAAAGATGCTGTGATTTCGCCTTCATTGAGGTTTAATGACTTGGATTTATATTAATTTGCAAGACGACATGTTGGCTGAACAATTGTATACAGAAATTCAAGTTAAAGATACGAAGAGGGAATAAAGTGACGTGACCAGCGTGAGCACTACTCGCACGGGTGCAACTAATATTAAAGGAGGCTAGTTTTATTCGATAGGTACTGGAATCCATGTATATCCTTTACGCAAGGATATTACCATCATCTCACATTTACTATGAGGTAACTGTCCACGTTGCCATTTAGTTATTGGTTGCTATACTAAAAAAAAGAAACGTGTATGTACGATAATGCGAATTGCAGTGTAAGATATATTAATGCCTCGATCTAATTATAATCATTTTTTTCATACGGTTAATGCGCGATCGCTATTAATGCTGATCTGAAATGTTCCTACTGAGTCACTGGTTCGAAGAAAATCTTAGATAGCGTATAGAATAGAATAGATCCGTTAAATTTATATAGTATTAATTAACTTTTATTATATTTTTCAGCGTTCGTCCCTGTTAGTGGTTTTCAGCACGGCTGTATGAGAGGCAGCAGTATTATTTTATCGAAGTGCTGTTATCATATGGTGACCATAGTGAAACTGCTACAGGATATACACTGTCGTATATATCTACATATATGTATATATGAGAATGGGCTTTGCTTTATTCGAAATTGTTCTTGGAGTCAAGTATTCTTCGGTGGCAGGCTATGGGCGCTCTTAGGTAACATTAGGAGGAAAAACGGTGTTCGAGTTGACATATTCTTGTCGCAGATACAAATGACTTATAGATGCTATGAAGGAACAAAAACCGCTTACTGCTCACTTGGTAAGGATATGCAACCTCTACGTTAACTGAACTAAATAAAGAACTTTGTGATAGATTTTCCAAGATAGAGGCGTAAGCTTTGAGTGTCCAAGGTAACATCTTCTCAAGGTAACCAAGGCACCTAAAGTTACCAACCAGGCACAAAGAAAAGTGTAAATTTTTTTAATATCACGGTTCGTTTACAAAAAAAAACGGCTAGTACTTTACAACAAATAAATAAATACTTGGAAATGATTTCTAATGTCCGCAAACGGGATGTATATATTAGACACCTGTAAATGGTAATATGAACTGTTCTCGAACACGAAGGAGTCCCACGGAGAATGGTCGGTGCCAAAATTGGATATCCCTGGGCATTGGTCGAGCAACTTTTGGAGAGAATTTTCATTTCAAAATCATCCGAATGATCGAAGTAGTTTGATGATATGTATATACAGGAGTGTATGACCAAAAGCGTGTGCTATAAATAGTAGTTAATCCCTTGCTGAATGCTTTAACAAATTATATTCAAGATTGGTGCCAGCCATCTTTATCACTTGCATAGCTTTGCAGTTTATTATGGGGTGACCTTGATAGAAGCCTAACTAAATGTAGCATAAAGTCCTATTTGGCCTGTTTCAACGCATCCGAATAAGTAACGTACTGTTGTGAAGAAGTAATTTAGTTCGTCATGCTTGTTTTGAAGATTACTTCAAAAGAATGGATGAATTTTCCAAGTAGTAAATGGCTGTCTAAATCTACAAAGGCTGGCATGTTTGCGTCGCCTCCATTTAATTTGGTTAAATTCAACAGATAGCAACCACAGCTCGAACGTGGAGTTGATTCTGGAAGTAAGTGAAGTATACTATAGGCCACCCTCCCCCTCTTCCCCCCGTACTTTCCGTCATCTTATGTGATGATGTAATAATAAAATGATCAGAATTATTACATTACTATGAGCTATACTTATTGGCTAGTAAAAGGATGCAATCTATGAGAGGTTCATACTTCGTAGTGCCTCCGAAGCGCACATACGGACCGTTTTCACTTTCTCTACCTTGTATTTGAGAATATGACTGGTAGTGTACCTTCCCGGCGATCGTTCCCAAAAGCGCGAGGTCAGGCGCTGTCACCACCTTTTCGTGCGAATCAAGAGATCTCCATTCAATCTTTGGAACAGTTATGATTGTTTTCCAGTAAAAACTAATCTTTGACGAACACAATTGTAAGCTTCTGCTGAGATGGATTTCTGTCTGTCTTTCCCATTACTTGGATCATCATGTTGTCTGGCATGTAGAAATACTGACGCTTTTCAAAAACCATATCGAGGTACTTTATGGTCACATCACATTCCACTGGACCAGATACTGCATTAACCTGCCTATGAAGCTTAGTCTGAACATTGAAACGCCGTTCGATAAGGTATATCGCAAAACGAAAGGCAGACTTTGTCGTGTCATGCCCAGTAAACAAATATGTCTCAAAAACGATAGGATCTATCTCTGAGATTTCTCCTTCGACATAAGTCATAATCATCGTATCGAAAAATAGTTTCTTGGATTTGGGATGTCGACGGCAATTTGGTTCCCCAGCGTTTGAGTTTAGTTCGGACTTTACGATCCGTTTCTTGACTACCTTCTTAGTATGCGGGTGTACGAAATTCAGACGCTTCTTTTGTCTTCGTCCATTGTCTATAGAATCGTATTCGAGGTTGCTTTAGAAAAGTGGGTTCGTCACTCAGATCAGGAGTGGCCTAATGATTTCATGCATATTATTCAGGTACGTTTTTGACGGAAATTGACGCCCGAGGTCGCACCGGTCGATTTTATAAGCAATATTAAGTGTTATGACGCAACTATGGATTAGAAGGCAGTCTTTATCGATTAGACATTTGGCAAAATTTTCACGTGGGCATTCATCGCTGCAGCAAACCTACCAATGAACCCACAATGATGTGTTAGTGTCAGTATTCTTTTTGTTTTGCACAAATATTTCCCGTTGAAATGACTAAACCTGTACCAGTTAGTGGAGCCTGTACACAAACCCTTTCCTAATATTGGTCGTATGCGTGAGCGTACTTGAAATGGCAGGGTCACCTACTTTCGATACGCCGGCTAAACTTCGAAAGAATCGAAAAATAAATAGTTGCGTGGTCGTCTGCACATTTGGCGAAGAGACCGATAGCTCTGTTGCTTCCAACAATGATGAAGATGACGATTAACTAAGTCTAGTACATTACTATTCGATAAAGGCACGTAGTATAACATAGTCTCATATAACGCCAGTTTGTCACACATTGAAGACCGTGCAGAACACTGAATGTTCAAACTCACTTACGGATCTTGCTTACCTTAACTTGCGACTCCTGAGATCCTCACCTGAAGGAACGGTAGATCATCACAAGTTCTGTTTGACTAATCAGCTTACACAGTATGAAATAGTCGATGATATAATAAAGTAAGATAATGAAACGCCGATAAAATTAGCTCCGTAGTGGTATCGAAACGCAAATACCCACCTTGGATTAGGAGGACCCGAGCAGGATACCGTTTGTAGCAGCGTTCTGGCAAAGCTCTCCTCGAGTAGTACATACGCACGTATAGCGTTAAATCTTTATGCATTTTTGTATTTACATGGCAAAGAAGTTCCTTATAGCGAATTTCCGTAGATCTATTTTGCGATAGAAAGCTGATAGGAACACGCTACAGGAGAAGTAATGCAATTTTCACAACCATGTAAAAATAGCCCCTTTACATACGGGAGTTGTGTAGTTATATATCCTGATTATAACAACAAAGCTTTTTCTATCCTGTAAAACGTATTTAATTTCTATTTTTATCTAACGTCACTAAACAGGGTAATTTTCTAGTACACTAAACCTTTCGAATTGATTTTTTTCCTTTGCTTTCCTTTGAAATTGCTTTCCTTTGGTAGTAACACAGTAGAGCGTATGAAAAAACCCAAATTTTCACAGCGTTCTATTTAGGAGAGTAAACTGTTAATAACACGATTCCGGAGATTTGCCGAGAACGGAACGAATGCGACTAGACGTTATGGGCCTTCGGCGCAAAGTATACAGGATTAAATTTGTCAAAGCCCGGGAAAATACCGGAATTGCGACAATGGATATTGGCATTGCAGTCCTTTCTCGGATAAATTTTCTGCCGACTTCTGTTGCTCCATCTAGTTTTCGAGTTGTCATGGTGACTGGCGGGTATAGGCCTCGGCTCTTCTTTAGAACAATACTGAAGTACTTTTCTTTTTTATATAATCGTCGGAACTTAGCTCTTTGGTGATTGGGTTTGCTTCGAGTTCTATAACCCGTTGCTCGATTCTTATCTGGGTAAGTGAAGGTATGAATTTTGGATGGAGCTTTTTTGAAATGACGTCAAAAAAAATTATTCCAAAGTAATGGGTTCAAAATATGGGCTAGGAAGTGTCAGATGTTTTCATATTGAGATAGTTCTCACCCAAGGAAGGTGCCTAATATTTTATCGGTGTCCTCATATTTGTTTCGTAAACAATATTAGAAGCGAAACGCTACAATCGATATTTTGTCGTGCTTTTTCTAGGGAAATAACCAAGTCGATATTAATCAACGAACCTACACGACACATTTACCTAATGTTAATCGGATACATGAAAATCTATTCTGTGTAATTGGCCTTGTAAATAATCGATGCTGGTCTAAAACTGAAAAACACCCATAAAGTAATTTTATGGTCTTTTAGGGATTTCATGACATCTCCTAAAAATGCACCGGAAAGGATTTGAATCTTTCGCTCCATATCTATTTTTTTTTTTAAATTTACATCTGATGAAGTGTTTAGGTACAGAACTCTGACAGCCGCCGTCAAATACGCTGAGGTGGCGTGTTGCTTTGCTTGTTCAGACAATGGCAAAAAATAAGGCGGATGAACTGTATAGGAGAATATAGAATACGGTTAACCCATTGGGTAAAAGCGATAGAATCTACAGTTTGTTTGAGAACATAGATATCAAACAAATCAAACCCACCGGTTACAGTATTCAAGGGTTAATATGGTATGAGTAACAGTTTTGTAATAGATGTACATATTACATATTACACAGATCTACAATAGATGTGATTTTTATTTAACGGGAACGAAAAGGAATTAAACGAAAAGGAATAAGTTCTGACAGAATAATAATTTAAAATTGTAGATTAAAAAAGCTAGAGGAGCTCTAAAGTTTCAAAGTCTATTTTACCTTTGTGATAACTTCGTTTCGTAAACGATTCACTGTTGAACTGCAACATCTGCAATATTCCTGAAAATATTACTATTCGTAACTTCTAACATTAGTTCCGAATATTCTGTAAAATGTACCTAACTAATCGCGTTACACTGTGATCAAAGCGCCAGTTTTTATTTTTCTAGGCATCAGTCAGTCCCGGACTCACTCCTTCAGGCTTCGCTATCGACGTGCATAGATAATGCTACACTCGTGTACGTTACAATGTAGATGAATAAATGAAAATTTCCCGCACAAAATAAGCACAATTTTCCGAATTGGATATCACTCAAATAGTGTATGTTAAGATAGGTTCATATATGGCTAATTGGTATTTAAGTTTTTGTAGCCGCTGACGTCTTTTTCTCAAGTTTTATTCTACAACGTAATCTTTGATATTCTTAAGAAGCTTGTCTATATTACTGTTTGATGGCGGATAGTGTTATAACACGAAGGCCATTAAGATTTTTCACGAAATCGTTCTATCGCCTATGAGCGAATTAGCAGGTTTTATAAAATCGTCCCTACTTACCCTATCTGCAGTAGGTTCCACCCTCCTTCTTCCGATCAGCCCTTCAATGGAACTGCGGTAAAAAATAATTGCATTTTTTCTTGACTGTTGGAACCATTATACAAACGAATGTAAAACTGACGTTACTTTAAAATGACCCTGATGGAAAATACGCGATACTCAAGCAATCAAAGAGCCTTGAAACTCCGTGGTGCCTTTGAGGTATTTCTAACTGATAGTTTATAATTATCCGAGGGGCAACTCGGGAATGGAAGGAATGATTTTTTTCTTTATTTTTCTTTTTTAAATTTTCTGTTATGTTCGCCCTCATTTCTTGTCCGCATCCAGGAAGCGTCACTACCAGCTGTCCATCATTTGCTTATTTTTCCTAAAACTATCCGGCTCGTTAATTCAGTTGTTATCTATTCGTAACGCTCAATATGTCTATCCTATATACAAAAAATAAGGTTTCACTTGTTTTTACTCATAAATTACATGAACGCATCTTCAATAAATATAGATGTCATATTCGAAATAAAATAAAATATCGTATGCCTTGCAGATTTTTTTTAAATTAAGAGTTGTAGTCAATGCGGGTAAATTGATAGAAGATTAGGATAGGGCAACGTGACCATCTTGCCTGACGGGTGATCGCCATCGGTGATAATTTGTGCTGTTTGACGATGTTCAGGAGGCGAGCGGCCCTACAGAGTCGTGATGTTGCTGACTTTACGTGGCGAAGATTGAAAAAGTTAAAGAATGCTGAAGACATTTAATATGTCTTCTAGAATATGATTCAATACAGAATTTGCATGGATAAGTTCAGAACACGTACGAGGTACGGTATGAACTTCCGTAGCAGCTAGTGTGAATTCGGAATGTAGTCTACAATTAGATCCTTAGTTATTTAATTAAATTTGGCACAAAGATGAAATTAAAATAAAATTTCATGACGTACAGATGAGGACAAGTCCTGATAAACGTCACCCGATAAGGTCAACATAATAAAGAAAAAAAAAAAGGAACTAACATTTGATTACTACGCCTGCGTGGAAGCACAGTCATTTATGGAGTGGGTTTTTCAGTTTAACATGTGTCATGTTCCTTATAAACAGTTTATATACAACTGATTGAATCTGTTGGTAAAAATTATTCACATATACAGTTCGTGATTACATATTGTATTTAGTAATTAGCAATGAATGTTATAGTTAATGTCCAGCAGTAATTACGTGAAATTCATACCTTCTAAAGCCATGCAGTTTTTCCTTCTTTGAATAGAATAACGGAGCCGCAAAATGCCACAACCAAGACCTAATTTTTTACTTTGATTTCAGCCTCGATTTTTGTTATGAGATTTTTTTTTGGCTTTGCCACCTCGACAGTTAATTTCGAAACGAGAATTTATCAGAAAGTTACCATTTATTTAATTATATATAAAGTACAATGCAAATTGAAAGTTGTTTGCCTTGTTTAACTTAATAACAGAAAAGCGTTCCCTGAGCCTGTTCGGCGGCTACGTACTGGTGGTGACTATCTCTTCTCTTGGACCACGAGACCTTTATAACAATGGCGAACTTCTGACGAATGTAATTTTTCGCACCAGCCGGGCGAGGCGAGCATTGATGGCAGCCCTGGGTGTTGTCTGGGATAAATTGTTCGGAATTAAACTCCTCCAGGTTAAGGAACACGTCACAATCGCGATGTAGCTTACAAGTTGATCTGGCTACTTTTCGCCTTGGAAATCAAATGACATTGATCATCGTTGATTTTTTAAACTTTCGCGCTGTCATTGGTATTCGAAGCTAAAGACGCATGAAATTCAGTACCATGTCCAGGTGTTTCATTTGTGTAATGTATTCTATTGTGATGTCACATTCAGCGCGGTCCAAACGAGATTCATACAGTTTGGTTTTGACATTTGGAAGCAGTCACATGAGAAATGTGGCAAAATCAAGAGCCAGACTCGTTGTACCATGGACGGTAAACATAAATGCGACGAGCAGATTACGCAGGTTTGTTTTAAATTCTTTCTTATATAGCAGTGACTTCACAAGGGATCGGCCCGCATTAAGCTGAGAGCTCTCGTAGATAACCGTTAGCCTGATTTCATTTTATGTGCAACTACGATGAGAAAGTTACTACCAAACTCAAACACAGCCTCGTATGGGGGGCTGTGTCTGAGTTAAAGACAAGGGCAAGTCGAACAATCTTGTCAGAGATTCCATTTTGAGTCACCGGGCAATCATCCAGCCGTGATAGTGTCTCGGCTAACTTTTATAGGTTCACAAGCCTTTTGCCCACTTAACTTACGAGTAGGTGAGGCCATTCTGTATTTAAAATCCGGCGTGAGCACGTTTCGTTTCGTACAGTATAACCGTACGGAGCAATGCTGGACATAGAACTCGAAATATTGATTAGGCCCAAACGAACAACCGTAGCGTTTGATATAAATACGACGAACGCTTTGGTTTCAGCTTTCGACAGTTCTTCTCTTTCAAAAGAACTCGCATTGGCTCATTCCCTCACTTACTTCACTAAAAAAAAAATGATCTGTTAAGACACCGTGGTGAGAAGTGTCGATAACGAAATGTGTGGGATCAAAATGGTAATTCTTACACGAGTGCGCGCAAATTTTCATCGCTACCATTTGTTTTAAACACTGAGACTTCGGTCGGTGAATTCAATGATACAGAAAGCAACTGATCTTCAATCTAGAACATGAAATAAAGGTCATTTCGAAAAAACAAATCAGCTTTACCATTATGAGTTTTTCATGATTCACTCAAATTAGATGCATACATTCCTCACGATCTAAATCAGCATGCAAAATAAATGTGGCAATTATGGATAAAATTGTAATTACCAGGCAATTTCGCACGGTAGTCCAGGTATGACGTAAACCTAAGTGTTTTTCCTACGATTTTCCAGTGTCCCAGAAGTGAAGAATAAGTTTGCGTGGGGCTTCAAAATGGGTAATCCGAACAAGGCTATATTTATATGAAGTATACAATTTATAGTTGACCCGACAACGGTGGATCTACAAGTTTTATAACGATGCTCAAACCATAATTGTACGCCTCTCATTCAGCCACGGAACCGATGTCATTGTGAGAAAGAAAGTAATAGTTAGAAATTTAGCGAAACAAACTGTAGCTTATAACAATGTAGATTTACGCAGGATATTAAAATATTGTGAACAGATACAATAATGTAGTGTACCACAGCGTTAGGTTCTCTTTATTACCATTATCGATGTAGCACCTGTGAAAAGCTCCATTGATTACTCCAAATACAAGCTTCTTATCCCGTTTTGGAATCTGATCTGCCGCACTTGGCGTGCGGGTGCTATACATTTAGTATGAAAGCGACTAGTCTCTATACAGAAATATTCATATGGGAGCGTAATCTCTAATGACCAAAAAAAAAAAAAAAAGATTGACTAGCATATAATCAGCTTAAGTCAAAAAAAAGCTCACCCATACAACAAGAGTGTTTTGCGCATTTTTTTCAAGCGAGATTCGAACCCAGGCTAATGAAGATCGAAGCTTCAGTGGATAGACCAATTTTCTACTGAATGAAATACGGAAGTGTATTGTCACTACTGCACAAAATACCTTTCGTGCGAATTAAAAAAAAGATCGATACTTGTCCTTTTGTTTCCATTTGGAACAGTGGATCAGGCTTCGCATATACAACCATAAAACCTTCAACTGGATTTGCAGTCTAGGTTAAGCAATATTCGTACAATATGGTTCGATTTCAATACGAATTTGCTTTTATACAGTATACCTTTCCAGTTTAGTCGGAAAAGATAATATGAGGTCAGCAAAAGATAACTAGAAGCTGTCCTCTACCGTCCTAAATTAGCCGTTCAAAAGGCCCATTGACGGCTTCGATTCGTCCAAATGAGTAACTTTCATTGTGTAGTTTTTTTTTTTTTTTTTTTTTTTTTGCAAAACAGCATCGTTTGTATTGCCATAAAATTAGTGATTAGGAAATTATTGATTAATTATACACTTTATTTTGCAACCAATTGTACGTTTGTGTCATAGTTTGTTTATTCATATATCATAGTATTCAGTCGAAGCGCGTACGATTCTAGGAAAGTTATCGTAAATCTAAAAAATATGACGCCGGAACAATTACGAATTTTCTATGTACATAAGATGTGGTGTTTGTCTATTGAAGTGGTGAGAAATTAAATTGAAAAATCATGGCGTAAAAAGCAATTACGAAAATCCATACTTCTCCCTTACCTGTAGCATCTACATAATATTCTCCGTCCGAATTAAACATTGGTATGGCAGGAAATGAAGAAAACTGGTAATTTACTGTTTATGCCGTTATTCTCATAGAGCTACCGTTATAGGCTAGAAGGTTTTGATTGAAACCTTTAATTGCAAAAGATTAAGGATATGTATAAAGTAAAGCATAATGAATGCCATCAACGATCGTAAATAACACCTGTGAAGTTCAGTGTCGGTAGACGGAGACTATTAGATCTCGCTCGTTACTTAAACTCTGATGAATCCTGATTCAGATGCAGATAAAGGCATCGGATAAATGTCCTCCACATATCCTTTTTTTTTATATTAGTCTTTACGTAGAAACATTTTTTCAGAACTGAATAAAAATGCGTTATTTTAAATCCTCGCCTACGACGAGTATCATATACGTGCAAAACTGAGAATGGCATTGTTATACACTGCTCGCCCTGTACATTGTCATAATTGAATCTGCTTCGTGTACCTTTTACTTTTCTTTTTTAGAAATTTAAACATTTTCTGCTGGAAAACCATTTTTCGCGTCCAAATGCACTGAAATTAATTATATTATTCGAATGTGTTTTTATTTATTTGACGCGTACGTGTACCTAATATGTGAACAACATGCCGTTGTATTTTGTTTTTATGAGTACGATTCCGTCGCGTGAGCGGATTTTACGAAGCGGAAAATGTTCGACGTTATCCTCGTCTTTAGATTAAAAAAACCATTTCGAAAATCGCCATCTGCACAAGGAAGAGATAGTCGACTAGAATAGAATTACCTTTATTATCGTTATAATTAATGACTGAATCGGGTACTGTCATTTTGGTTTCGAAACGCTGAAAACGTCCAACGACCATTCAATCTTTGACGAAACACCGAGTAGAGAATATGTTGTTGGTTTGACTGAAAGCTCATATAAAGCAATAAATTAGCAGCCCACGGAGTGCGGATCTCCGTTACCATGCCAAGCGGTACCAGTGAGTCGGCGTTCTACGCATCGACCTCGTTGTCGGAGACAATAGATGCTTGTTAGTGTGTTTATAGCATACCATGGCGCTTCCATCTGTTGGTCACCCAAACGATCGTTGTGTCGTACACCTTGATTGAGCTGCTAAACCTCGTTAAACGTGATATCCACCGAATGACTATCGCAGTTCCGGCCGCAGCAAGTCACCCGTCCAGCCAGATCTGTGTCTAAGGCATGTATCAGAAGTGGGAGTGGGACGACGAAGCAACGTAGAAGAAGCAGACCATTGTTTGTTGCCAATTCCAGAATCGTTCCGCGCCAGTGAAACCGTAGGGCTTACAGCTGATCCAAGTGTTACAACGCCGCCTACTGCTACGACCTGCACTGTCCATACCGTCAATGAGCCAAATTTTAAAAACGGTAGAAAAAATGACCTTATCGTGAACATTGACTAAACTAGTGGTTGGAAGGCAGCGAGGCTGATTAGGCAAAAATATCTTATTTTATAAAGCGATACTGCCACTACCGTAACATTCTCATATAAATATCTAACTTTTTACTATCTAATCCGTCATCTACATGCACCATTCGCGAATGTGCGAAAGAGGAGTGCAAGCGAAACACAAAGTGCAACAGATGATCACCCGTCGGACAGAAAAAGCGTCCTTATCTTCTTTATCGTAAACGATGAATGGACGGCCTGTCAGCATTACCATCTTGTAATATAACTGTACAAACATTATTTCATATTCAGTTATTCGTGTCGTGCTTAATCGACAAACACAGTCAGATTTCTGCTTTCGACGACTGCATTTCATTAATGATGTCCTGGTCACACTCAATAAGTTTCTTTCTGCGCGTCGATGACCGCATGATTTTGACTATTTTTTCTTCGTCGAGTCGGCGGGGCATGTCCTCTTCGCTGTAACTGCTCATTCTGCTAGAGGATCTAGAAGCGCGTTGAATTGACCGTCGGGACGATTCTTCCGAGTGTGGACTTTCGCACATTTCCCCGTCATAATTATTGACGAGATTCAAATTATCGGACTCAGCCTTTTGCTCGGCGGAGACTATTTCAGGTTCCATATTATCCGTGTCCTCACCAGTGCATATTTCCGCTTCATCCTGAACTGCAGTTGCCTCCTCAGTATGAGGTTGTTGGCCCTTGGCATCCGCCTCGGTCTGATCGTCACCTTCTGTCTTATCTGCGTTGAAGCCACTCTCCGATTGTGGTTCGTGTTTTGCATCGTGTGATAATGATACACCTGTGAGTATACGCTTTATTTCTTCGACGGCGGCGTTTTCTGTGCAGATCTTGGCGTTAGCGGTACTACCATTGCCGTCTGCTTCTTGGAGTCCTTTCGTAAGTTTGACGGGATTATTTTTCATTTCCGCAATCGCCTGTTTATATGTTTTAAGCAATTGGGCACAGACGTGATCACACTGTACCATTTGATCTTTGGCTCCCCTTCCCCGACAAGGGAATACTCGCTCGATGCGTTCACAATTACAGTATCGCATGACGTTCTCCACACACTGATATGAATCTGCGCATCGTCCAGGATGACAGATCAATGGACATTGATGGCCACACTCCATGATTTTGGCACAACGTACTCGACAGCACTTCACCAGTTGTTTCTGCTCCTCTCCCATGTCACACCACTCTTTGCATGGCTTCACGATACCAGTCGCCTCGCAATAGCATTCTAGTTCGACAAATTGGGTGCACGGTTTGCATTGTCCCGAATGGATATATCGGGGACATGGATGAACGCAGTCTCTCGGTCGACCTTTCGTCGGACACCTGATCAGATACCACACGTACTTGGCCAGGTAGCTTTGGTAATTTAGGCTTTGGCCCATTCTTTCGCCATTAGCCTTGCTCATTTCAGCACAAAAGGATCACACGCTAAGACTATCCAGCTGCTGCTGCGAACATTTGAATTTTCGTGGGCTGCGGTAGTCTGCGTCATCGACAAAAATCTTGCAAGTTTTCTTCTTGCTCTTTGCGTTGGCCGTCTTCAAGAGAGAGGGAGGGAAGCCAGTTTATGGTCCTGACTGAGCTGTACGTAAGCGGTGTCCGGTCGAACAGCAGTTGAAGGCAGACTTGAGTGAGAAAGCCCGATGTGTATTTGTGTCCTGAAGAAAGACGAAGTTAATATCAGATGGCGACTAGGCCGACTAGAATAACGACAGCAATAATTCCTCTGTATGCATGGCAGGATGAAGATTCTGTAGTAAAGTATTAATTTTTTTTCTATGCAAATTAGTAGCACAGATGTCTAAGTAAGAATGCGAAAATTATTAGCATCTCGAAAAGCCTTTTGATATCTTTTAGACCTTACAAATGGGCAATGGCGTCAAGTTGGTCATGGACCTAACAGGAGTAAACGCCGTTGCGTTTGCTAAATAAGGCTCAATATCATGAGCATGCTAAAAGTGAATCGTGCGATTCATAGATCACGTTTAAAGTAGATGCAAACATGGTGCAAGGTAACCCTACCGAGTAAAGTTCGGTACCTGCCTTTACTTCCGCCGTAACCTTTTGGTTGCATAAACTTGTCCAGGGTACCACAAAAATTAGGACATTGAATTTTTCATCTGAGGGCTGAAATCTTTTTACATTGGAAAAATAGCTGCTCTCCCATATGGACTACGAACAGTTGTAGAGTCGTGCGCTGCTAGGGTAAGAATGGCCTTTAAAGTGTAATGGGGCGTCTAGCCCAATACAAGAAGACTGCGAAATTTTGGTACGTTTATTTTCCGCAAAAATTGTATGATATTTACAACAGAATAAGCTGCATGTTTGGTTTGTTACAAAAGTTCGATTTAATAATTATGTAGAAAACTTTTCTGTAAATTTTCATTTAGCTGAAAATTCAGATAAGTGTTCGTACATAAATCACAATCAAATGGATCATTCAAGACGCATCGAGTGTTTCTGAGAAGCGCCATTAGCGCGTTCATGAGAACAAAATGGCTGAGCTTAGGTGTAACGTATGCTAGATCAATCCAATGAGATCAAATATAGATTGAATAGAAAACTCGGGCAGTTCTACAAAGAACAGTTTCTCTATAATGCTATTAGTGACCGAAATTAGTGACCGCCTGAAGTCGTAGTATATTTTTTTATGTTCGGTATGACTAATTAAGGTGTTGGCATTATTGGGAATCTGATTTAAAGATGGCGAAGAACGAGATCTACGATGTTTAAATGTTTATATATAGGCTAACAGAGCACAAGTTCCAACGAATGATTGGTTAGCGGATTATAGATTTTTGTCATTTATGGCAAAACTGGAAATCTTCAGACTGTCGCGGGCGACGATTAGTTTGTCGAGATAAGCTTCAAGATATAGCCTTCATATTAATGAATAAATGATGCAAAAAAGCGGCCCTGTACGAGTAGAGCAGTCACTGCCCCTTTTCGCTGGTCGTTTTATTGATTTTCAATAAATCCCAATATGTAGGATCTATGAACTAACATATAACTCTTTCTTCACATTCAAATCAGAAGATAAAATCACAAAGAACAGCTAATGCAGCTAAAGTTTAAGTGGACTTGTAAACATTTTTTCTTCCTAATTTGTGTAGTTCCTATCTAATTTTTTTGTTTTCCTTCTATTTATCGCATGTCATTCTGTTCTGCAATTATTCTGTCAATGGGCAAAATAGGATTATTTTTTTCGAAAATACGCCAATCAGCGACAAGTATAGTTTGGTTTGACGATCTGTTTGTTGTCCGCGCCATTGTTGAAGTTGCACCTAAGCCTGCGACGTTCTGAAGGGCGGCATAGTTTATGTGGGTGTAGATGACAGACAGACAGAGGGTTGTCGTTGCTGTTCTATTCTATTTTGTTTGTATATGTGTCCGTGTTTGTATATCATTCAAGGCCAGCTCCCTTTCACTTTTGTTATTACTATGGAAAGATCGAATTATCTTGCCGATGCCGACAGATCAATGATCCGCCTTTTTGCTCTATTCGCCAATATTTTTTTGACGGGAGGGGTAACAGTTGGTGGTGGGCAACACAAACCGATCTATAGAAAGCATTTTCAAAAGAACTTTTTTTTATTTTCATTAATAACGAATCACATGAAGTTGCGCGGGATTCAAATGATATTGTATCGACTAACCGACTTTATACAGATCGAAAATTGACGAAATAGCTGCAAATACGCGATTGAACACCGTCCAACTAACCAGCCATAGCCACAATATTATATATTGGATGGGTGGAAACATCCGGATATAGACGGCACTAAATAAGTGTTACATAAATACAAGTAAATGTTACATGCTCTAAACGGCATGGTGACATTAGATTAGATAGTAATCGAACTCTACCATACATGGCCCTTCGACTGTTTTCGATGTTCTCCAACTCCGAGAAATGCTACCTACAAGTGACTCAGGATCAACTTCAGAATACGCGAATTATACGAAGTGATAACGGCTCAAAATGCCAATCAGTGGAGCCAACGCAAAAACTAGCTATAGACAAGCAGAGGCGGACCTTGTGTGGCCGTAGCACGCATCAGCTGCTCGACATCTCTCGGTTGTGATTGATGTTGTAGATCTAAGTGAGCGGCTGGGTCGAAAAAAATGTGGGTTCTGGATAAACGCCACCTTTTGGTAAGTAAAACTAAGGGACTATTAGGGAGACAAGCCCATATCACACTTCTGCTCGAACTATGTGCACTGTAGGGCGACAGATGATGATGGTAAGCGTACAACAATTAACTAGCGAAATTTGCACGTTGAACTGCAAAGTGTTTTGGATAGTATCTTAGGCACAATGATTCCATCGCGTAATATTATAGGACGCAAACGCACTTATAAATCAATGAAGCTAAAAAATTCTATAGATTGATACTAACCTTGCCAGCGCACAGGAAAAATATATAAAAAACAAAAAAAAAAAAGTACTATTTCACCGTTGCACGATAACATGTCCTGCCTTGGCTTTACACCTTTGACATGCTGTTGGGTCGAGGCCACAGCGCATAATGCTGAAGTGTTTCGGCCTGGCCTGGTCTATGCTTAGCTCGCAGATATGGCATTAACAATTGAATTTGTTTAAACGGTTGTGAAGGTGGAATGACACTTGTCGCTTAACTTGCCCGGGGTGGCAAGCCTCGTCCTTTAAGGTGGAAGTGATTCGTGGCCGCTGGTCAATAACGAGAGCGAGTTTTGCCGCTGAATTTTTAAGTTCATAAGAGCCTACAGCTGATTGTCTGTTGTCCACTAGCGGCTCGGCACTGGTAGCAATGCGATTGACGCTTTTGCAAGGGTGGAGATATACATACGCCATGACTGACGTCTTCGTCTCGAGTTTAAATAGACGGAAGGGAAGCGATGCGAGCTTTCGCGCACGGATTGGGAAAGCTTACCGTCGACCTGACAATACACGTAACGTGTAATTTGCAGAGCTACCGGCATTCGACTTTGCCCTTCTGGAAAGCTGATTGCCGGCAAATGAGGGGTCACCACCGAGCATGGGCGGCATCTGGCTATGGAAGTAAGCGTCGCTCGACGCTTTGTTATAGCCACGTGACAGGTCGAGGACGTGCCGGACTCTGATAAATGGAACACTGTTTGAGACAGGGTTCTTTCTCTGTGTTCAAAAACGGCATCAGAAAGTATTTTGGTCTCGGAATTGCCCTCGAACTTTGTGTGATTTCAAGGCATTCTTAGTCCACAGTTTTTTTGTATATTAAATAAAATTAGCAGAAGTAAATGGTTCTGTAGCAAATTCTAAACGAGCTAAACGTTTCCAAAGAGCTAGTGGCGTATCTTTGTAGGATTAATTGCCTGTTGGCGAAGTGTATTAATAGCTCTAATTGATGTGGTTAAATTGACCTTCGTGCGAATGGTTTCGTTATGTAAATAGAGGAAATTTTACCTTTTTGTGGCAGCAGCAGTTCTCAACTGATGGAAGGATGCGTTTGGCCTCCATGTGCTGCATTTTGCATCACTGTCCGTTCAATTATGCATGTAGAGTGCCTCGAAGCTCGCTTGTGTCGTATCGTGCGAACGCCGCGTGATACCACACGAGATATTCTATTGATAGATCTGAAGGACAAGCTTTGCGTTCGCTTGATGGAAAAATAATGAGGTGATAAGATCCTGCATTGACTAAAGGCGCCCCAGTTACGTAGCCAGGCGTTATAGATATTTACCTTCTAGCTTTAAAAGACTTGCGACGTCCTCAACGTGTTCTCAAGAACGTATTCTTCAGAACACCCAATCTGTCGAGAGGTTCCTTGCCGGCAAGTAAGAGTAAGACGACTTTCTTCGTTTTCGAAAGATTAGGCCAACTTACCCGGCGAACCCGCCGACAGCCTTTCAAAGTTTATGAATATATTTTTGCGTATCGAATGAAAAATGGCCCTTGACGGCGCCGTGAGCTATTCGCTGCTTAAGAAATTATTTTGAGCATTTTGCAATAGCGGTGGAAGCTATCAGTAGGGGTCTGGTTGACAGTTGAAGCCAAGATGTACTCGTTCTCTGTACAACAAATAGTTTACTTCAGGCAAAAGATCGGCACGAAGGGCATCTCTCTAGACCAGGCTAAGTAACTCTTGCTATCGTAAAATAATTAGAGGTTTTTTGGCTTAACATAACATTGCGGACGGAGTCACAAGTATTAGAATTTGACGAATTTTTTCAAAGCATTTTTCGTGTACTCTGCTCACGTTAGAAGGCTTCAGCTGGGAGATAGCGCATCAACGACTTATTCACGGGTACCCTGTTCGCAAAGAAATAATCTGACAAAAGTCGTGAGATCAAGCTCTGATGTTGGCCATAGTGATTAAAGGGCGGTCTTGGCCTTTAAACGAATACAAGTTCGAGGTGGCCCATCGTAACGAAGTGGCTAACCGTGCGGTTGCACTCTCACCTACGACAACTGGGGACATTTCCATAGTAAGCCGGGACATGAATAGGCATCCGTTGGTTGAGATAAAAATCAGCCTTATTCATTTGATGATCCCGTTTCTTCTCCAACAGGAAATCATCACGATATGGCAACAACAGCTTCCCGTCAGTACGCACTGCCGTGTAGTTAGAGGTTTTATTTAGGTACTGTCGAATCTCAAAAAATTAGCTATTTTGTATGAAGTCGTGCTCTGTGCCGTTTGGTGAACGAAAGCAGTAAGTAGCACTGATCCCTGTGAATACGCCTGCAGGGCCTGTCGAGAACTCAATGCGAATCCTATGGGGGCGCTGCATGTCTCAGAACTCGTATTTACTAGATCTGGTTTGTTAATTTCTTTGCGACCTAAAATGTCTTGCTGAACGCACAGTTCGGTCTGTATTCGGTCGCCTGAATGTACATTATAAATGTTCGGCCAATGATAACATGGACAAATCCGGATTTGTCAAGAGACCTGTAGGATCGTATATCTTTGTATAATTTATACTAAACCTCTCGCCAACTCTATCAATGATGCGCTCTAGCACCTGCATTTGATGCCTTTTCAGCAGGTTAATTTTACGTTTTAATTTTCATCGAAACGCAGGTGGAGTGTTGCAGACGATTTTTTCTTCGGCTTTCACATTGGTCAGCGACGGGTCTCCTTTTTTACTTCTAAGCTTCTTCCCTTATCCTCGCCAAGGCTGCGAGTGAACCGCCGCTCCGAAACTGCCCAAAGGCATCACAAAAAAGCCTTAACGATATTTTTGCCCTTCTAATCTCATTAGTCTCTGCTGATACCTAATATATATATATATATATATATATATATATATATATATATATATAAACATTGTGCAAAATAGAGTCAGAGAATAATTCCAGATGCAGATTTCGTCTCCTATAGCGAGCAATATAATTAGTTAATGCGTACATAGGCCACCGAATATCTGTGAATATTCCAGAACTATTCATTGTGGTGGATGAGTGCATGAAGCAGTGAAAGCAATGGCACTTAATTGAAACTTCATTGACAAAAGAAATTGCTCAAAATAGATATAATCAATCTTATCATCGGAACATTTATTCAATGCACTTTTATTGTTTATATAGCTATTAACGTAAAGTCAAATAAAGAAGTTAAGTTGTCGAAAATGTCTGTAGATCCGAAGTTCTTTTTCTCTTAATATCTAAATTAAAAAATTACGGGCAAAACACGGTGAACGATATATCGGAAAGAAACTGATCTTATACAAAATTGTGCAACTGCTTGCTTTGTGGACGGGGTTACATTAACAGTCCGATGACGGCAGGTCTTTTGCACAACGGTTGAGCATTTGTGTTTCTGGGCACAAATACGATTTTGTCTTGTCACAGAATCTAATATTGATACAATTAATGTAAATAAGAACGATCTGATTGTTTTCTTGGCTAATGTTCGTATCGAGCCCTGAATATTATCACAAGCTTTACTTCAAGGTAATGGAATAGGCGGATTGAAGGGTCGGGTACCTTCGACGTGGCAATAGGTTAACGCCAGTGGGGTGACAGCCTCATTGCAACAGGAGGACGGGCTAATTAATAGAAAGAGATTGGACAGCCTTTGCGAAACGCTTAAAGCATCGTAATACAGTATTCAAGTGATAGCAGTTAAACAAGTTAAGGGAATAGTGGAAACGATATAATCGAATCACGAAAACGGGGGTAATGCCAGAGCTTACCTGAAATAGAGCAATCGAGCGACTATAAAGAGATAGTGGAAATGCTTATATGAGATTTCAAGTCAAACTTAAGCTCGCTCTAGGTCACATTAATAGAAGCGCTGATAACAAGATCATGTCCACAGCGGGGGGAAATGTGCTTGAAAAATACTTAGGCTGAAGACTTCGTAGCGGCCATAAGTGCTCATATTGATTCTCATTAATAGCCCCGATATCCCCTCTAGTGACAATTACGGACTTTCTATAATAGTTTGGATCTGCTCATGCATATGGTTCATTACACCCAACAGAAAGATCAAAATATTTGCCTAAAGTGTAGTTTTCCGAAATTTGGAGTGATTCAATCCTCCATACAGTTTATAGGTATTTTTTTAGCCGTTTGTACATTGTAAAATTGATTGTGACACCATTATAAAAAGATTTGAGTGTGCAAAAAAATGCTATGTCATAACAATAGGTAGGTTTGTCTTCAAATGAGAGAGTCCTGGATCTTTGTAAAGAAGTAGCATTGGCCAATTACATAACTCAACTAATCATATTTTCTATATGCACTTACGTTAATTTCGTAAAATTACTCTCTGCTCGAATAACAACCAATTTTAGCTCAAGGGATCTTGTAGAATCGAGGTCCTATTTGCTGTTGACACTTATAGGCTAATTTTGAACTTCATGACTGATGATGACGATCCACTCTTGTAAACAATCATACCCATTTTTTTTGTTTGCGAGTACGCTAATGAAGTAAGCTGATAAGACGGTCGGCAATTGTATAAAAAGAAGTACGTATATTCTCTATCCGCGAGCAACGGAACGATAGCTATAATCATTAGATTTTTCACGTTTGTCTTTTGAAGTAGGATATGAACCAGTAAAATGTCAGATTAATTTGGTCACCATTACAACAAAGAGCGCGTATAAGATACTAGTAGTTGACGAAAAAAATCGCTTAATATCTTTAAAAAATGAAAATAATATTATCTGCGCAAGTATTTGTATGTAAACGTTATTACTTATCACGAACGCAGAGGTGAGTTAATAGTTTGGTGGATTTTTTGCCTTTGTTAGTCGATTGAGACCCGGTACATTTTTCCTTTAAGGACCAGCGCTTTCCGCAAACTTTTGTCCCGGCTCTCATTACCTAATCCAAACATTTTCGTTTGCTGCATAATTCATTATTCAGTTCGATCGATGTCTGCTGTTTTGTGAAGTGTGTAAATTCTATGAGTTCTATCGACCTCGTCAGGACCTATACAAGCCGACTGTGAATTCATAATTCTTAAGCTCAGAGTGAATTCCACCTTTTCAATAGTAGATGTCTTTTTTGGGATGCAGTGCGATCATTCAAGTGACACAGAGTGGCTAAGATTGCCTCCAACGAAGTTCTTGCTTCTCCGTTACGATGCACGTAGGTAATCTTT